TTCCCTTGGAAATGCCAAGGAAAGCTTTGAAACACACCAGCACCAAGCAGTCTAGTCAGTATTAATAAACACAGTGTAGTGACATAAAAACACATTCATCCATTTTAACTGTTCTGACAGTTTCATTCAGAAAACTTTTGTGGCAATATTTAAATAATTCACCAGCCTCTCAAGAAAACATCTTATTGAGAAAGATTTGAGATGTGCCATGAAAGCATGCCTATGTCCTAGCATGAAATACTTTACTGATTTTAATGGAGAAGAGCAAATATAACCAAAACCTCCAAGAATCCAAAGACCCTGGAAGATGATAACAGTACAGGAACAGAAAGGAGGAGGCAGAGGAATTAGCTCTGAAGGAACAGCTAATTTATTAATTCTTCACTACTAATTCAGGATTTAAGTACCTAAAAGTAAATCACTTTCAGGGGTCAATGACACTGATTACCAGAAAGATACAATATTTATGAGGAATTGCTGGCTTATATTTTACCTCAGCTGGTATTTTTATAAAGGACTTTTTGTTTTTATTCCAATAGAAATAAAAAAGTAATTGAGAGAACATTTCTTCCCTCACACATATTTGCATTTCAAATCTTGCAGCATTGTGCTAGGGCATGATCAGAAATCATTCCAGCTGAGCAGAACAATTGCTTTAATCATAGTTATTGTAGCCTATCTCAAAGTTAAATACGGTTATTAAAATTTAAAGAAAGCAGCAACCCAAACCCCTCAGGTATTCTAAGGTGCACAAGGACAATAGCTTGATGCTTGATTACACACGGGGAGGTTGTTTGGACTGATATGAACACCTGCATGAAACACTTCTGCTTTATGCCCAAGCTAGACAGCTGTGGCGATGGCTGGCTGGAAGAAAATGTTCTTTCAGTACAAGTAATGTTTCATCTCTCATTGTCAAAACAAGATGATCCTGTTGGTCCATACAACTCATCATCAAGTCTAAATAACTAGATTGTGTCAGTGGTGTAAAGGCCTCCATCTCCTAGCCATTTGCTACAACCTTTACTCCTCTCCTGCAGTGGCAGTCTGGTTATGGGATACAGTCATCCATCACACTCAAGCAAGGTTACTTGAATTTGTTCACAGAATTTGGGAAAATAAAGAATAATGGAATTTTGCACTGCACAAAGTTTAGGTTTGTGACTCATTGATGGCTCAAGACCAAAACAAGCACCACCACTCCGTGGAATACTGCCAGCTAAACCCCTTTGTTCTGATATTATAGTAATCATCTGTTAAAATACAACTACCAAACTGCATCTTAATTGGCAGTTCCTCCATGTCAGTGTATTTGGTGACCACAAAGTTGATGAGTCATACAGAACTGGAGAGAAAGTGCTGATATTTGGGAGGAGGGAGTTTTATAGTCCAGCAAAACTCCAGATGAAGGTGCTGAGAACATCATCCGTGGAAGAATACCTGTGTAAACCTAAAGGAAAATACATCTGGAATAAGTTCATCAGCTTCTAAACACCCTATATTTGCATCACCATAATGGAGAAGAAGCTGGCCACTGTGCAAAAAAACCATGTTGCCTAGAACGCTTAATGGCCTGAGAACAACTACAGCCCTATTCCTTACAAGTCCCAACACTGACTGCTGTCTCCTCTTTTCTGCTGCAATTCAAGGAAGGATCAAAGAATATGGGGCAATAAGTGATATATTCTGCCAGCAAGGACATCAAGCAGCTCTTAAGAGTCCCAGCTACCAGTAAAGATTTATTTGCAGAAAAAAGGTACTCCATCTGTTCATACTCAGAACAAGCCTTAACCCAACTCCTCAAAGCAGTTGCATATACTTCTAACTCAGTATGAAAATGTGCAGAAAAGAGTATTGAAGAGTATTGAATGAGTATTCTTGCATGCCAGCACTGAAATCATTAACAGAAAATATATATCTGATTGAGACAGAATTCATGTGAGGCAGGGGCAGTGTGTCCCTGAGGCAAGGCATGGTGACAAGACATGCCTTTGTTTTCCTAGCTCAAAGGGCTGAAGAAGACTATGTTAAGCATTAGCCAAATAAAGGCAGCTGATTCCTATCTACTTACCTATTAAGCCAGTGGCTTGGAGTTGGATTTTTTTGTTGTTGTTCTGACTGTTAGTTTATTGCAGCTTAAGAAATGATACTATCACTTTTCTTCATCATTTAATCAAAGCATGTAAGCAGAAAACAAAGAGGTACATTGTAAACCAGAGCAAACCTTGAACTCTATAGCCTTGATCCAACTGGAGCTGAGAAAAGAAGATGAGGAAAATTCATGGCAGCAGACGTTGACATGAAAACTGTGCAGAAACCACAGAGTCATGACTTCAACACCAGAGGCTGGAATAACAATCCCACTAAGGAGTTGTTTCAGGCAGGGGTAAGAAGGGGAGGCAGGGTTGGCACTTTGAAATGCTCCTCCACCTGCCTCCTTCTCCCCACACTAATTCTAAACTAGAGTCTTCTTCTAACATGCTTATCACTGTATCTTCAACCAATTCTGAGCCTTCTCCATTGTCAATGAAGAAGCTGCAAGTCCAATCCTACCCTACGTCTACATACCAAGCAGATTTAAACCTACACTTAAAAGTGGGGGGAGGAGTAAGTATCACAGCCTGGAAGGGATTCTTCATATTGTAATTTGGGGGTAGAGGGTCAATTTTTTTTCTTTGGATTAATAAGCTTTCAAATACAATACTAGCACGTAAACTATGAAACAATTTTAATGGCACTGGAGCATTGTTAATGACTATTTGCATTCCCTCAACAATGTCAAAATCCAGCAGCATCTCTTAACACAGTCTTCAGATATCACAGTACAAAACACAACACAAAGCTGTACTTTTACTTGCTTAGTAATATTATGTTTATTATGATCCCATAAACATTTCATTAAGTTTATTGGTAAGATAAAGGCATGTGATCTACACCTCATATATTGTCCTTTGTACTCCCAAGGAAGTGAGAGAGGTACAGTTATTACCTTTATCATTATCTTCTCCTCTTCCACCTTCAGCTGTTGCTTTAACACAGGCTGCAAGCATATTAAAGAAGCAGTTACCTTGACTTTGGAACAGCTATAGTTTACACACCTCTCACCAGAGAGCACAGCACTCTGTTTCATTCTCCCTCTGTGACCTTTAACAAGAACAGAATTAATCAACATGGTGTACTTAAAAACAATTCCAGCCCTTTACATGTCTCCTCTCACAGAATTAGAAGCATCAAGATCAGATCAAAGGAAGGAAGCATCAGCTTCAACACTAATTTTTTTTTTTACATTTTGTTAATATTTTTTAATATTTTGTAAATATTATTTACACTAATATTTTGTCATCCTCAAAGTAAGAGTAATTTTACTTTCCTGGTTACAGAAGTCTCAGATAAAGCGTGATACAATGGATGCTTGAAAAGATGGAAGTTAAATCTTTCTACCCCTGTTGTAGATCTGCAGTCCCTCCTAGACATATCTACTGTATATAAAGAACCTGATGGAGCCTTGCAATTCTGAGAACTTGCCTGTTTTTTTCTGAATTGGTCTATTTAAAAATCTTGTCTTGCAGAGCAGTGTATTTTAGGAATAGTGTCTAATGCCATGTTCTCTAGAAACAGCAAAACACAGACTTCAGAGAAATTTTTGAGGTATGACATGTAAAGGGTGTGAACAGCTTTAATCAGTTAACCCATATCGCCTCCCAGGTGCCTTCAAATTAAAAAAAAAAAAAAAAGGCATTTTCTTTCTCAATAAATGTGGGTATCTCCCCACATTTTTCTATTTCTGAATCTCTTAAATTGTTAGAGATAAAAGCAGAAATCAAAGTGTGACTTCTGGATGTTTCACAGAGGAATGTCTAGCTCTGACAGATGTGAAAGATACATCGTTACCTCAGGAAGGAGAACTGATCCCCTTATACAAGTCTATATCTAAGAATCACAAGAAAAGTTTTGTAATGTGCCTTAAACTAGCTTGAGATCATATAATCTTTTTGTGTAGCAACATGATAACTTTTTTCAGTGATTTGTTTTAAATTCTTACAGAGAGCTTTTGATGACTAAGATATCACCCTCAATTTTAACATATTAATAGGACTTTCATTAACACGTGAATGGGATTTAACGTAGATCAATAACTTGCAAAATCCATTCTGTTTCTCACAACAGTCTCTCTGAACTGGATGTTTTTTCTTATTTTAAATAGACTGGGGAAACGACAAAAACAACTCTTGATATATATGCATGCATAACAATGAGTGTGTTTGCAGCAAGAGAAATTTGAAAGTTAAATTTTTAACTAATTGTATGAAATTCTGGGGGATAGTTATATAAAACCGTGTCATGTGCTTTTCCACTAGAGACAGAGTCAGTTTACTACAGAGATGGAAAGTTCATTCATATATCTTTATAATTTTTGCAATTAATTTAGGCTTATTCCTCTTGCTTTGCAACAAAACCTTCTGTTGCTTATCCTCCTACAAATCACAGCTAAATCCAGGGAAAATCCAGAGATACTTTTTAAAAGGACATTTTTAGCACTGCTCCTTCTAGCCGTCTAGTACAAAGTGTTCAGAGAAGACTGTGAGCACTAGGGATGCAGATGGTTTAGTAGCTTTTTTGCATATAGTAAGATATCCACAGCATTTTCATATTTGGGAAGGCTGACTGACCTGTACTAAATTCTAGCTAAATAATAGAAGTTAACCTCTAGCTCTTTACATTCACGTGCCTTGCCAGAGGGAAGAATTGGAGGGCTCAGAGATTTCACTCCATGCTATATATGGGACACACAAATTGAGTACAAATGCAAAATACACTTTTCATTTCATGAGTTCTCTGAAAAGCACTAACCCTAGAAGGGGAAAGAGGCAGGAGGAAACAACTTCACAGCCCACTCTCAGATTTCACTAAGCACAACTGACTCCACCCCTCTTAGCCACATATCTACCACATCCAGCCAGGGACCTTGGTGTGCAAAATAGCTGAAAGCTACCCTCAGGATGAGAGCGAGGCAGCTGGTCTGTGGAATTTGGAGTCTGTGTTTCATGTTCTGTCTGTTCTGCATCTTTCTTCACCAAACAACAGCCAAAAGAAAACTGAAGTTTGTGTCCCTAGTAAGTATGGGCAAATGAAATTTCTTCAAAACCTGTCACTTACTACTCTTCTTGTACTCTAGGGTAGGGAGGAAGGGGCACCTTCTCAAGTACCTAAATGTTTCCTCCATATTAAAAATTAATTATTGCATTGTCAAAAAAAAAAAATCTTAATTTTAAATAAGGTTTTATAATTTTGTCTCCTTTGTGCACTTCTGGATGAACTTACTTTCTGGATGGATATAGAATGCTTATTTTACAGCACTAAGAGAAAAATAACACAGGATTCTGTTTTAAAATGTAAAAGAGGATCTCATAACTAAACGTCAACTTTGATATTGATATTACAACAATCACTTTTCCAGTGGTTTCACTTTTCCAGTGGTTTTAATGGATTAACATGCAAAGTAAATTTCAGTATGTGAAACTCAAACAAGTGTACAATGATGTTGAACAAGTGACACAGAAACCAACACGGTGAAGCTAATGCTATTTATAATGACTATGATGTACACTTTGTTTGCAGGAAGCCTGAATCTTATTCTGAACATCACATACACATATAAATAATTAATATAATTTTTGTCCTGCAGTTTTTGATTTAATTTCTCTCTGCTTGGATTAAGAAATTAAAAGACAAAAACAAACTAGTGTTAAAATTTTAAAGTCATATGGCATATATCTACAGGAATTTTGCTGCAAGGCATATGAAGCAAAGAATTCATCGTATGAATTTAAAAAATCCAATGTATCTGTATAAATACATCTTTTATCTGAAGTGAAATTCCAAAGCAGGTTTAACTTTTCAGAGCAACAATTTATCCTGTATTTACATATTAGATAATGTTTTTATCACCTCTTGTGATGAAAAAGTCAGCATATGACTTTTTAAGACTAATTCCTGCCAAGTAAAAGAACTTCCCAACAGTCAGCACAGAACTGTTATCTCGAGTAATAGTTTGGCTTTTTTCCTTCTGAATTCCAACTTAGTCATACCAAAATACTAAAGTTCAAATATATCTGCAAAATTACTTACATATTTCTGTTTGTTTTCAGTTTATTTAATATTATGGTCTATGCCTCCTAAAATACATAGACCATCTTTAAAATATAATAGGGTATCCTGTAGTTTTTATAACTTGCAAAAATTTATTTAAACTAATTTATTCTCAAATGTCAAGGAAAAAAACCCCAGTTATATTTGTCTAAATAAATTAAACAACAAGAAATGTAGCTATCTAGACTCAAGGCAAGTATTATTAATATACTTAGCATCTGTCAGATAGAGTACTCACTGTCATTGCATATTCCTTGTGACTACACTAATTAGTTATAATCACCACAAAAAATACCAGTAACACAAAAGCAATTTCATCTATTTTATCAGGTATTTCGCCATGGTGATCATACCCCACAGGAGTTTTTTCCAACTGATAAGCACAAAGAAATTGCAAGACAACAGGGATATGGTCAACTTACTCAGGTGAGTTTGTTTACCTGGGCCAAGAACTGAACTATTGGAAGATTGTGTGATGATATTTGGGGGTTGGAACTTTGCTTTCACTTGGAGAAAGCCCTTATTAAGTTGCCATTTAAGATCAGCTAAAGAACTTATTAGGAAAATACAGCAACAGCACTCACTAATTTTAAATGAAAATGAGTCAGCCTGTTCTGGTCCAGTGTCAGCATATGTTGAGGTTTTTGATTGCAGACTAGGGTTTTCTGGAAGGAGCCAGGCATTGGTGACCATCTCAGTTCACCTGAGACCATGCAGGAAGCTTTAACCATCAGCAGCATAAGGTGATAGAAGTGCTTACAGATAAAACCCTCTCTCAATCTCTGCTGAATAGGAGTGCTCCCTAACTCATGAACTGTTAAGATCAGTCCTAGCAGGAACTGCTCTCATGCTATGCCCAAGAAAGTTGATTTACAACTCAGCTATTCTAGTGCAGGTGTTTCTGGAATCAGCTGTTGGTAGTAACCAGAAGCAGCTGAAGCAACCACAGGTGCTCTATCTGACAGATGCTGTGCTTGCCTTGACTGTAACTTCTATTAGCTGTCACGTCGTACAAATGGAGCCAAGGGTGAACTGTACTATCAGATTGTAGGGCAATATTTGGGCACTGAGTGGCTCTAGCCCCACTTCTGTTCCACTCCCACCAGAAGGACCCACTGTGTCTGGGTGTTTATTCTTCATTCCTTTTTCCCCAAGATATGTTATTTGGATGGAAAAGCTGCTAGTTATCTGTCCTGCACTCAGAACGAGGCAGTCTTCCTGAAGCAGTTGAGAAGTGCCAGAAGTCTGGTTGTCCCACATAAATGGCTACAGTGCACATGGAGGCAGACTGTGAGGTGTGTCTCTGTTAGGCACATACACTTTATGTCCAGTGGGTCTCTCCTAGGGGAACTTGCCAGGTCTCCACCAAAATCAGAATAGAACAAACTGTCTGAGGGGTTCCTCTTCCCCACTGCTCTTAGGAGGCAAAACTGATCTCCCAAGCAAAATAGGGCCTGTTTCTGCTCTTGTCAACTTCCTTGAAGAAACAAAGAGTAACAGACCAACTCCCCAACCCAGCTGTGACTCAATCATTCCGTATAAACACTATGCCAGTTCAGCAATCCATGCCAGTTTGCTCCAGGGCATAGAAGACTTCAAGACCCAGGAGTCAGGACTTGACAACATGCATATTAGACAAGTAGGGGCAGAAGCCTAATCCTCACATATACCCCAGGAAACTGGATGCACAGTTCCAGCAAGAGAAAGAGATGATCACATGCACACACAGTGGGTTCTGAGTAACTTGGTCTGACCTCATAGCTGACTTGGCTTTGAGCAGGAGGTTGGACTAGAGACTTCCTGAGGCCCCTTTCAGCCTGAATTATCCTCTGGTCCCACAATTTAGAAAATTGCTTTAGGAAGCAATGAGTAATCACTGTACTTAAGATCCCAGTGTACAGCAATGATTACATGAGCTAAGTGGAATATATTTAAATTTGGGCCAGGAAACACCAGGTACAAGTAAAAAGATGGCACTATAGAGACTATTACAGGGGGACTGTAATAGTGTGATTGTGGTGGAGTCACCATCCCTAGGGGTGTTTACAGAAAGACTAGAAATGGTACTTAGTGCCATGGTCTAATTGACATGGTAGAATTAGGGAATAGGTTGGACTCAATTATCTCAAAGGTCATTTTCCACCTAACTAATTCCATGATTCTGTGATTCATATGTCATGTGTTCACAAAATTATGTAGGTAAGTGTTCAGCTAAGAGCTAGTAAAATGTTGGGAGCAGAAAACCTATTTTTCTTTGAGGGTAGAGAATTGTCATTGGTTTAATTTAACACAGAGATAAAGTGACTTGATTCCATTTTATTGATTATTGTTTAACTGTGAATAAGGTCTGTGATGCTGAATGTTATTCAAAAGTGTAACAAGATTCAGTGACAAAGTTGGGAACATAGACAAGAATCAAACATCAAGAACCAAATTTCAGACTGTTGATAATAATTAACTATTGCAGCAAAATGCCTGAAGGCTTGGAGGACTTCTACTTCAAGTCTTCTCTTCTGAAAAACTAGATTTTGCCCAGACTAAAACCGTAGCCCCCATAAGGAATCACTGGTGATACTCTATGGGATTCATATCCTGGATGTGCCTTCATGGGCAGGTGGCTGCTCTGTCTGCAATCCCAGTTAATCAGCTCTGAGACAGCAATAGAGTAGAAACTAGACAGATGGTGTTGGAACATCTCTATGCCTGCTTTAAGTCTCACTAGCTCAGATAAACAAACACATAGCTTTCAATAGAGCAAAATACAAAACTGCATCCACCAGGAGTCATATCTAACATAATCAAATACCACACATGCAGCAACTTTACTACTTTTTTCTCATGTCTTCTTTCCTACTTCACATTGAAAAGGAAAAAGGTCTTTATTAAAATAATATCAAATACTACTGTATTCTTTTTTTGTTGTAGGAATGGATGCATAGCACATTTCTTTAGCCTCTTATGCTCTTGTGTTACTTCTACAGCTTGGCATACAACAACAGTATGAGCTTGGCCAGTACATGCGGAGGAGATACTCTCATTTCCTGAGCGTTGTATACAAGCAGTGTGAGGCAAGTACTGGATCTGGGCAGGAAGATGTTTTTCATGGTTGTTAATGGGACTTCCTGGATGCAGAAGAGTCTAAACCTGGTGCAGTTGGAGAAAATTTAGTACCAATTTAAGTCAATGTAATTCCCAAGTATCCCTGAAATAGTGGTTCAGCTTTTATCCTGATGATTAACTGAAAACCACATGAAATGCTTTTTAGGCTGCACATCAGGTTCAGTTCCCTCACTGCTATATGGGAGAGCATCTATGTCAAATACCTCCAATGCTACGCTTCCACATGGAATGCAGATACAACTCAGTTTTCATTTATGTTCCAGCTTTTCAGTGCACACATGATGTCCTAAAGCCTAGAGGGTCGAATAGAGTCAATCACATGCTGTCTGCTAGGATTCCTAAGCTAAATGTTACCATGCTGCAGCTCAGTCGTCCAGAAAAATTGTATTAGTTGCAGTCTCTCTCCCTCCTCCTTCTTTCTCATAGTCCTTCTTCATGTCACTTCATTTTAATGACAACTTCCCAAGTACCAGCCACTTTTTTTCAGACCAAGAATAGAGTAAACCTAATGGAAGGAATTACCTTCCAAAATGTTTCTTTTTTTTCTTCTTCTTCCTTCAGATTTATGTTCAAAGCACCGACTATGATCACACACTTATGAGTGCTCAGGCAAGTCTTTCCGGACTGTACCCACCAACACAGAGTCAGATTTGGAACCCCAGAATCCTTTGGCAGCCAATTCCAGTTCATACAGTGCCACTGACACATGATAATGTGAGTATAAACTAGGGGCATCTGCTTTCCCTTAATCATTAGTAAAGTAAATAGAATATGAAATAAAGGTGCAGCAAATAGTGCATGGTAAATGTAATGAAAAGAACATTGTTAAAAACATTGTGCAGAAAGGCCTAATAAGCTGAATAGATGTATTGGCAAGTATTTTCCCAGGAATGGACTTACATGTCAGAGACACAATCTTAACAAAAGCGGAAGATAAATGGGAGTACTGGGTATAGAGGAAAAGAGTTAATTTATAAGGTGAGTAAATCACTGTAGAAGCAGATTAATCCTACTTTTAACACAAACATGGCTTTCTTTGTGTGAGAAGAGAAAACATACTTCATCTCTCTAGTGCTTCAGTATTGCTTAGTCCACAGCCAACAGAAAAGATGAAAGAATCATTCTGGGACTCACGTTATGGTGAGAATTGAGTGACAGGATTTTTTTTCATGCACTTTGCTGATCAGTGCATGCACTTCGAGGATTGTTGAAAAAAGTGAAAGGGGAAAGGAAGGAGGACTCAGAGCTTTAAGCATGAGTTAATAGGGCAATGTATTTATTCAGCTCCCCTCCTCGGCTCCTCACTTTGGTGCTGTAAGAAATCCTGTGGATAACAGCTCTGTAGCCTGCATATACTTGTCCTAGAGGGGAAAGCTGTGCAGCTGACTGGAACTGGAATCTCCTGTGTGTGGAAAATCTAAGATTAAAAAGTTAAGATTGGGAGTGTGCAGTATGAGTCCCGGTTTGCAAGAGCAAGTTTGCACATGTGATGCAAGATAAATTGTGTGGGCTTTACCAGTCTACTTAGCAGAATCTGTGATGGTAAGGGAATCAGGTTAGATAGGTCATGGAGCAATGATTCTCACCTTGGAGTGATGAGAACATGAAGATGGAAGGTATGGAGACATGTCTTCCTCTTCACACACACAGCCACGCACAGACTTCTGACACAGGTGGGGATGTCCCAGCAGACAGTCAAGAATACCTGGCCAGTATCAACAGAGATGGCAAACTCAGCAAGCAGGTGCTGCACCTCAGTCACATCTAGGGGAGCAAGTAAGTTTATTCAAACAAATAATAAAGTCATGAACACATGCACAATTTTAATACTTTTTCAACTATTTGTGTTTTAACTTTATTCATCCTTACTACATATACAAGCTAAACATGAGACCACATGTATCCTACAATACAAAACAAGTGCCCATCATTTATTGGTGAAGTCATGCCTGTTCATGAACCTATGGCTATAATTCACAAATACCTTCCTATCTTGTGAAATACATAGATGGTATTTTTAAAAAGATTGAGGAACTTCTGTGAAGCATTCCAAGCTAATTATCCCTTCAAAATTCTCAAGTTCTTTTCAAAGTTCTTTTAACATTGGGACTATATACATGGGGTTACATTACTGGGAAAAGGACAATACAACAATTAAAAAAAAGCACGAATAATATCTCAGTTTCAAATTTTAACTTTTGTTTAAAATTTAACACAGAAACAATAATAAACTCAATTTGCTTACATATGTAAATACATATAAATGAAATAACAAGTTCTTAAGTTATTCCAGTCATATGTAACCTCTAACCTTCATATATCTTACATTAATGAAAGACAAAACTGAGTTATAGAAAGTTCACAGGTTTCTGCAATTTAGCTAACTGCGCTACAATTTAGCTGAATTATTTCTACAACTTAAATGAAGCTGCATTAAATAGACTCAATACAGCTGAGTATGCACAGACTCCTATTGCAGTCCAGCTGCTGCTTGGTAATTTGTTGTAAAAATGTGATGGTATGTTTAAAGAAAGACTGAACAAAATGAATGAAATCATCCCTGGAGAAGCTAAGAACAAAGGAGTTCATGAGGGCTGGTCTTAGTCTTTTGTCAAAGGACAAACTTCATCTTGTGTAAATGAATCCTTTAACTTTGAAATACTGCAGCTATTACTCCCCTGAACATTTAAAGATTATTTTGTATGTAGTCATCAGTATGACTCCTAGAGTCCTGAAGATGAATATCCTTGAAACTACATTCCCAAATTATTTTTCAGCTTGTCCTAACTAGTGCAGTCAATCAGAACAGCAATCCTGCAAGGGTATATTGAATTGCAGAACAAGATGCACCTTGCCTAACTAGGATTTTGCAATTTTCTTTCCAGTTGCTATACCTACCTTTCTCACACTGCCCAAAACACAAGGAGCTTCTGAGAGAAACCTTTGCAACCAGGGATTTCCAAAGGCAATTCAAACACTACAAGGTGAAGTATTTTCAATTCTGGAAATACAGTTAAAGTGTACCACTTCAACATCATATAACATGTAGGTTTAAATAATAGCAGTTAATGTTCTCCTTTCAGATATCTAATCTTCACAGTGGGTGTAGATAACATACCCAAAAAACAATTACAACATTACAGATCTAGCCAGACTGAACTATTTCCAACAATTGAAAATGTCAAGACACAGGAAAGATAAATTATTGACCTACTTGCAAAAACTTAGTTTCTAGGAGACTAGCCAAAAAAAACCCCAAAACCTGAGATAAAATCATTGTCAATGCCTCTCAAATTATTCCAATACCACTCTCTGTTTACTCCCATGTAAAGCAACTCCTCCAACATCTCTGTGAGTTCAGATTAATTTTCTCTGCTCAATTCCCCAGAATTTTTATAAGAGTCTCAGTGTTTTCCTCAAGTACCTATTCATGTTTCCCACCCAAAACCTTAATTTAGGTGCTCTCTGTTTTGTGCTTATCTTCATATGGTATCCTTTCCTTTCTTCCTCCACCATCAAAACCTTGCATGACTATATAATCACGTTTATTCTGCTGTAACCTTCTTCTTCACATGTGTATTCAAAACAACACTATGAACCTCACCTGTTTTTCTATTATCTTTCACCACTAACCTCAATCATCCATCTGTGGTTCTGCATCTGGGTTTTATGTGCAAGTAAACCAAAATTCCCATTTTATCAAATTTACATCATACCCCTCTTTCTCCCAAGTACCAATATCAGAATAATTCTGTTTATCACACTTCTTTTAAGCAGTTTTTGGATTTCTTCCAGACTTCCTCATATATCTGTGCTCTCTCTACATCCTTCTAAACGCTTCCACCAAGTATAAACAATCACCATACTTCAAATCTGAACTGGCATCACCAACCTTGTCTAAATGAATAGGCCAAATTCTCTTACATCTAGGCAATGGTGCATTGCTTAAGTGTGAAGTGCAAAGACTATCTTCTTTCTGAAAACTCTTATGTGTAGAAATCGTATAAAAAGGCCCTCAGTACTACAAGTTTGCGGGTTTTTTTTTTATTCCAGCAATTTCTGAAGTTTTTAGCCACTCATACAGGATACCCATTGAAGAAGTTGACTACTGAAAGGATTTGGAAGCTCTCTGAAACTTTACAATATGAGGTAAATAGAATCATAGAATAATTTAAGTTGGAAAAGACCCTTAAGATCTTTGAGTCCAATAGAAATTCCTACACTTTCTTCAACCTGGGATATTTATTTGGTTTATTTTTTTATTGTAATTCACAAAAAGATTGTAGATCTGTGCTTCAGATTTTCTTTAAACATGGACTATTTTCAGCTTGTTTCCCAGAAATCCTCACTTAACATCAAACATACAACTGAAAATCCTGTAAACACTCTATGTGTGAGGCTGCTGTGGGTCATCCACCACTATAAGGAACACAAACTAATGGAATTTCATATTCAACATCCAGTCAGTGACTGCATATGGAGAATTAGGCAAAAGCATTCCTTAGGATAAAATTGTCTTATAACTCATCCAGACACCATTAAGAGATACACAGGCATAAAGTTATGTTGCTGGCAAAAGAGCATAAGCATCCTTCCATGAAGATTTTATGAAAATTGTATAAGCAAGAGAAGTCATTATTTGTACATGGCCCGTAGTGGACAGAGTACTTTCAGGAATTAAGCAGCCATTGGAATGACACAAATTGCTATTTGTGCAAGTTTGGGAGCTTGTTCTAAGCTAAGGTACCAGGTATATCACAAAAAAAGCATGTTTTTTATAACAAAAGGAGTATTGTGATGCCAAATTGGTGTACGTATCTGGGTTCCACAGTCTGTAAATGTCATTATTTGAAAAAACCCTGACTGCCCTTAATTTAGCAGGAAGTCCCACTTCAAAGTCTAGACTTACCTCATCTGACACAACTGAAAATTGCAGAGTCTTGTGCAAAAAAGTTATTTTTGAAGGCAGCTTTTGCTACACTTTCATGCATAACTGTTTATAAACCTAAATATTAATGACAAATTGGTCATCAGTACTGGGATACTAGTGAAGGAGTTTTAGGGTGGATTTCAGAAGCAACATGTAATATTTTACAGGGAGTGATGTTAAGGAGTTTACCTTCATTCCTGCAGTTTTTGCAAAAGTCCAACTTTGATCAAAGCAGACTTAAACAGAATGTTAGCCACGGCCTTAAGTTAAATGAAATGTTAACATGTTGGGACATCTCACTGTAATTTCAGTGAGGTCACCCTTCCATGTTTTCCAAACGCAGGATCACAACTTTCTATTTCAATAGTTAAATCATTCCAAGAGCTGTGTCACCAGACAAATATGCAAAACCCACAGCTTCCATCAAGAATCTAGCTAAACACTGGGATTTAAAAAAAAAAAAAAGTGCTTTTCCCTTCTAGTGTTAAATTTGATGAGCCTTGGTCTTTGATACTACTGACTAAGGACTCTGAGGGTATCAGTTAAAACATCTGCCATAAAAGCCTCTCATTTTTCAAGCATACAGAGAGAGCATGCTTACATAGATTTTTAATACAATTCATAAAACTACAGTAGCACACATCTCTCTATATTTTTCACTTTCAGCTAAGTGTTATCCGACTTTCAGGTAACTTGGTGACTGAGGTGTTTGCTCGCCTACAGACTGTCTTAAATAGCATGCAACCAGACAATTCTTTCCTCAAATCATATATCATATTTATTGAATGAGAAATAGATAACATTGTGATCTGAGCTGGTTTAACCTAGCATGTTCTGTTGTTTTCCTGTTTAAACAAACCTTTAAGTAGTTGACATTTTCCTTTGAGCTCACTTGTGACAAGAGCACTCCTTTTGGTGAGCTCATTCCAAAGGTTACATTGCTCTAAAGGAAATTTACTGACCTTGTTTAAACAGGAATTCAGAGTAGTGCAAACTAGGAGTGCTGTGCATATCTTCCCTTCTCACAGTTGTGATCACTAATATACCTTGGACTGCATCCCCAGGGAAAGACTAACCTATTCCACTTTAGCCTGTGGTCTCTGACAGCATCCAATAGACCGTAATAGGTACGAATTTCATTTATATCTCATCCTTATATATCTACCCCATACTTGGGTACATCCATACTACAGCTATACATATTCCTATTTGATCTCTGTATTCCTCTTACACCCGAGAGCTACCAGCCCTTAAAATCCTGATGTTTATATAGGATTTGTTTCAATAAAACCATATCCGAGCACATGACTGAAAAAGTCATATAGTGATTTTTTCACCTGACAACCTAAAAAATTCCAGTTGCTTTTTGCATAATTTTTAGCATTATATTTCCTCTTCTTGTTGAGCACTGCCGTTCAAATTTCTTTTAAGCACTATGATGCTATAAATAAGAATGCTACAGCTGTCTAAATGCAAAATGCAGTCATCGTTTTATTACAATGAGAATATGTTGCTGAAGTGAAACATTCAGAATTTTTTCTGAGAAGTATTTTGTGCTGGAATAAATAACAGTTAGCAGTAGGAATCAGTAAGAAAATCACCATGTTTCCTTTCTTTACTGTAGGAAAGCAACAATTACACTTTACCTGTATGGGCTACTCATGGTGTCAGGACCAAGCTGATAAAACTGTCAGAATTGTTATTGCAGGCGGAATTTGGGTTCCACAAACAAATACAAAAATCACGTTTGCAGGGAGGTAAGCTGAATTCTTATTCCATTTAAAACCAAAAGTAGGACGGGAAAGAAGAAAGGGTGTATGACAAAGTTTGCTGCTGATTCCATAGTGGAACAGTGAAATATCTGTTATGGGGATATTGGTGGGCAGCACTGAAGGATTTTCATTAATGGGGAGGGAGATAATGAGCATAGGAATCATAAACATCCTAATTAACATTATAATTTAGGTATCAGTTAGATTACAGTGTGTAAGAAATTCAATATAACATACAGATTCTTGTTGAATTGAATCAAGTCTGAACCTAGTGTAAGCCTCCATGTGTAGCTCACTTAAAAAACATATTATTTGTTGTAATGTCTAGAATGGAGACTTCGTTGCCTAACAGCCTTCATATTCTACTACTGAGAGTCCTAAAAAGAGATTACTAAACTGCTTCTAAACCTTACTCTGCTCAGAAAACTGTGGCTGAAATTTGAAAGTATTTTATACCTTTTTAATCACTCATTCTCCTCCATTCATCCACTGTCATCTTTTGAGCCTCCTTTTTTGTTTTATATGGGCAGAGGACAGGCAGGATTTGCGGGCTGGGAAGACAAATAAACATAAAAGCATGAATCAATTTGTTGCATTTTTAAGAGCTCTGACTAGCAAAACTTGACACAAAGTTCAAATCTCTGCCAATACTTTACTAACAATTGTTATCAAAGATGTGCCAGGAGCTAAAGACTAATTCTGTCTAATTTGCTAGCTGGTAGAGTTCGACTTTTAGGATTTTAATTTGTCGGCATGCCAACCTTATATTAGCATACTAGCTCAGCCATTGATTTAAATCAAGTAGTTTGTCTTAAAATTTTTCAGCAGTTAACATTAACAAAATACAGACAGCCACACAATTTATAAAGCCCCAGAGTCCAGAGGAATCTTTTTCCTCTGGAAAGCAGGAAATCAATCAAGTTACACACACAATGGGGATAACATTCATTTCTGTGCTCTTCTTGCACTGTTGTGCTGGCACAAAGTAGCTGTGAATGCTCTGTTTGAAGCTGTTGAGGTTATTAGGGATCCCCAAAACATTTTACACAGAAGTAAAATAGACCCACTGTTCATTTGAAAGATACTGTCACTATTAGTCAAGGTGCTCTGCAAGTCAATTGAATAAATCTGGTGCATTTAGTGACAGGTTGCTAAAATGTCAACAATTGATATAGATGTTAACACAAGCATCTTTCTTTGTCACTGCTTCCCCATTTCTTTTCAGGTATTCTTTTAAAAACTATTCTAAAGCATATCTTAGATGCTAGAAAGCCTTCATACCATCAAAAAATGGTTATGTATTCCACGGTGAGTGCTTTCTGTTTCTCCTGCGCTTATTAAATGCAGTAAAAGCCATGAAATTGTATATCCCTCATGAAATACAGCTACAAGCATTTTTAATTTGGTTAACCTTAAATATATTCAGGTTTTAAAATTTTTTTCATGAGCAGATACTACTTTGAAACCTGAAGCATTCCATTTTCTACTTCACGTCATGATTTTTTCATTGTAATAATGTTTTGATTGAGCAGGGAACTGGAAACACCATGCCTCATGTTTTATTAAACCTGGATCACAAAGTTAATTTAAAGCAAAATCTCCTTTTTCCTGTATCTTTTCCAGTGCAAATGGGAAAAAGAGGAAAAAATTAAGTTACAGTTATTTTAGAAGGCCTTCTGAAGGCAGTTACTTAGTTGTGATCTTATATTTTTGTTTAGAATGAGCAAATGCTGTTGCAGGAGGAAATTTTTGGATTGCTCTCACTAAAAAGCTCCTGCTTCTAAACTGCAATTATATCATGACCTATTGGGTATATATCAACTAAAGAGCTTACTGATCTGATCTCAAATACTGTTTACCTAACAAAAGTAATGCTTTTACTAGGCAAAACCACGATTTTTTTAAAAAGAAGGTTTAACAGCTCCTATTAATTTTGTAAGAGCTGCAAGTTACTAAGACTTCTTAAATATTTACAAATATGTATACTTTATACATGTAGCACTTCAGTTTATATAGCCATAAAGGGAAAATATTTGCTCAGCAGAACAGAGGGCAATTATTAATGAGGCTACACAAGTAATGTTAATGTTGAGTGGACAGATAATGCACAGGAAATATTGTTAAATAATAGGTTCATGCAATCATTTTCAGTATACCTAAACTTAAAGGTTTCCTCTGTTCACAGCATGCAGCCACCATTGCTGCATTACAGATGGCACTTAATGTCTTCAATGGAAAATGGCCTCCTCACAGTGCCTGCCATTTTTTTGAACTTTACCAGGAAAAAAATGGGCAAGTATCTGCAAGATCTACTGCTAATATGTACTTTTTCTAAAAAGAAATTTTCTGATACCCAAGGCTAATTAAACTGGATACACGAGGTTCACTATTCAGGAAAGCATTACACATTGATTTTAATTATTGTAATTGCATTCAGTTTAGTAGTCAGTAACAGAATAAGCCTAAATATATATATATGTTTATTTATTTATTTATTACAGTTATGAGAGGTTTTACTCCATCTTTTTTATCTATTTAACTCTTTAGCAAAGACAGCAAACTACATGCAAATTGGTGTTGACTCCCCATTGCTTAAAAAGTTCTCTTCAGAGTACTAATTATATTAGAAAATCATAAAGTTATTAGCAACCAGACAAATAAACTGCCCAAAAGTTTGTTCCCAAGTACAATAACTGCAGCATGAAAAGGCTGTGTGTCTTTTGCACACCTAACTTTATTTTGACCCTTCTGTATTTTGAAACAGGCAATACACCATTGAGATGTACTACCGGAATAATTCTTTGAGGGAACCTCACCCCCTCACTCTTCCTGGCTGCAAATTTCGCTGTCCCCTGGAGAGATTTACTCATCTGGTCTCTCCCATCCTCGTACACTATTGGACAAGAGAATGCAGAATGTAGGACATCAAAAGGGGTAAGCTAAGTGCTTTGTGCACATGTACCCAAAAGTAAAGTCAGGATTACATCTTGAGCCAGCAGCTCATTTGAAGTGACAATCATTTTCATAAGAGTCTGCTCTGAAATGAGAAATACACAGATCCAGGAAAAGAGAATTGTACCCATGGCTGTCATTTCTACTCCATCAATACATTTCTCTATTCCAGACCAACTTTCTGGAGAAATGAAATCAAGGGTGATCTGACCTTACAGTACTGTTTTTCACTTGGGGTTTTTGTTTTGATTTCGTTTAGTATGGTCAAAAACACCTTCAGTTACTGAAGAAGTACATGCAAATGCACTGACTTAAAACAGTCACCTTTTCTTCTCTAACTGGAGAATATTTGCCCAAGCTGATTAACAAGTCAACAATTATGCATTCTCTTTTTAGTAGGCATTCAGAGATCAAAACAGATGAATGTTTGATTGTACACTAGATTGGTACTTACCAGAATGTCAAGCATATACAGACACACATTGGTGTACTAACTCATCCTCTCATAGGTTGTCTATATCACCATATTAGGATGTTCAAATTTCCTTTTGACTACTTATGATATTTAGTTTTGGAGAATGAGGGAATAGGAAGGCAGAAAATGACATTGTCTGTCTTTTAATTTACTCTATATTATTTAAGGGAAAGTAAAGCTAAGAAATCTCCCTTTTCTAATGTTCAGATATTGTACCCAACATTAAAAAAATCCCATATGGCTTTCTGAATCACTGATCTCAAGAAGAATTTGAAGCGTCAGAGATTATAAGAATGCAGACCAGCCAGCTCATCTGGTTGAAAATAATTTCCTGTTAAATATCTTGAATCCATTAACAGAGTGGAGATAGTCTGGCCAAAATAAATGAAAAATTAGCAAGTAATGATTCACTAAACAAATTTCTTCTGTAGTCATTGCTCACAAATTCTCAGGAAATATTTTAGGAAATTATCACATTTAATTGCAAAAGGTAATTTGGCAGAGGAAAGGGGAGGTTGCTCCTAATGAGGTTTTTTTCCAGCCACACTACTAATACAGTCATGGAAGATAATGATACATACTTCATGTTTATACTGTGATGCTTAATAATCTAAGATTTGTGGAAATTAATCCCCCCTTCTTCACAAAGCAAACTGTGTAAGTGATCAGATAAATAAACGAAGAAATCTATCATATATCAAAATTTTACACAAATGAAGACACAAATTAAGCCTTAACCTTTAAGTTTAATACAAAGCCTGTACTTTGTTTCAATCATCAAATTTTGCTGAAGTAGAAGTTAGATGGTCTTCAGGCATTTTACACCAAATCCAGAATCACTGCTTTCATTAGCAATCCTGAGTGCTGAAAACACATATGGACCACAAAAGAGGTTACAACCAAACCTGATACTCCAATAAAATTATTTTCCATGTTGTCATATCAAAATGTGACACTTCCTACTATTTTATCCTGGTTCAGAATGGAGCTGTTGGGGCCATATCCTAATTTTTTGAACAATAGTAGGAAACATTGATTTCATTTTTCCTGCAGGCAGTTTTAAACTCTCTGCTGTGCATGAGTGGCACTTGGGAAAACACCAAGGCACACTGATCCACAGGCTGCACAGTGCAGCATGCTGACAGACTGCTCTGTGCTAAACCACTGTGCACTACCAATTCTCAATGAATGCAGACAGCCTGGAACAGCTGACTTTTAACACCAGGAAGCTAAATTAAGGAGAAGAGTGATGCAAAGACTTTACAGGTCACAATTACACTTGACACAGACAACTGCAAAATCCCTGATTTCAGCTGTTTCCAGCTCTGCCAAAAATAATCTCAACTATTTTTCTTTGCTAATGTATGTGTTATTAATTTGATTATACATGCATGAGGGCATTTTATGAAGCTCATAAATGTGATTTTTTAAAAATAAAATCTAGAAGTGTGACTGGCCTCAAAAGTGTAATTTATATAGATAGCTATTCTACAGGGAGACTTCAGTTCGCAAGCATAGAGATGTTTCTATAAAAATCTTAATTGAAGTTTTATAGAGAGGATTTATGTCCCCAGTACAAGGAAATAAAGGAGTTAAGCAAGTAATGTTATTATAGGTCACGCAATACAATTGCAGTATTTGAGGGTGGTTTAAATCAGAGTTAAGTTCCTCCACATCTCAATGACCACAGGGTGAAACATAGGAAACGAATAAAGCTCAGCATATTTGGGAAGGAGTTAAAACTATGAGCTCTCCCTGTGCTCTTTTTGCTGCTTGGGAAGATTTCAGCATGGATTGATTCAACTTTTCAACAGATTTTTCCTAATCCCATCAAAACGGGAGCAAATGTGTTAACTCCTCTCCACTCAAACTGAACTGCTTACTTGTTGAGGTACTACTAATAGGTTTCCCATGTTTTTGGAGAACGCCACATGCTAAGAATACATCTCTGTTTTTGTCTTACCTTTAGGTGTTCCCTCCACTGTCTTCAGCATGGTTTACTTTATGAAAGAGCTCTTCCCACACTGTGATATGACTGTGGTCCAACATTTCTCTTTAAATTCCATCAGCATGACCAACTAAATCTCCTGATCTCTATCCAAAGAAAACATTCCTTAATACTACAAAAAAAAAAATTATAGAAAGCAGGGACTTATTCTTCATGAATATTTGCTTTACTTTATCACCTGGTAAAACCCGTGTAATATGAAACTAGTGGAATTTTTCAACACCTATTCTTTACAAAGGAACTTTGTCAGAACTAATTCAACTATGTAATTATAGAGTGTTTTGAAGGACTATAGCCTTGATTTACAGCAAAATTGGAAAACACCTCTGAAGGAGTGCTGCCTTCTTTTGAAGAATGAGACAAGAACTTCCAGAACTGGTGATGGAAGCAATGCTTCAAATGGAGACCCTAAAAGAAGGAGTCATTCCACTGTCTTTAGACTTTATTTAATTTAAGAAGTAATGAAACATTTAACACAAACAGATCTCAGAAGTCACAAGAATCAGGATAATGCCTGGTTACTTACCTAAGAGATATCTTTCTTCTTCTTTTCTCTGCCTTTTACATGCACAAATATCCCATCTCTATTTAGAAGGAAGATGAGACTTATAGAAAACTTGGACTGTGAATCTAGACTTAAAAGGGGCCTAAAAACAACCAGGCTAGCTACCATGAAGACCTAGCAACAACTGGTTGACTCAAAAGGCTTTCAGATATTCTTTCCAAAAAGACAGGAAAGTGCTAATCTTGGAAGCAAAATAATTTTTGGTTGCAAATAGCTTTTCTAACACCTTCCTTTTGTTATGTTACCTTGATTGTATATTCTTATCTGATCCTATAAAATCTGTTATCCTGGGAAATCTGTAACATCTCTGTTCTTGACATGAACAAAAAAATGGAAATACAAAATAAAAAAATTCAGAGCTGCTCATTAAAACATGCAGAACGTTGGGCAATCCTTCACTAGTTAAATTTTCTAATATCACTATTGCAAAAACAGCTTGTGTTATTACTACAAAAGCTGGATCAAACAATCAGATGCAACTAACTTCTGAAAACAGCGGACATGTCTTTGCTTGAAGAGTTAGGATTTCTTTTTTTTTTTGTTTTCTCACAGTGCATAGGACCTTTTGTCAACAGTCTTACTGCCCACAGGTAATTTCAAAGAGAACCAGAATAATAGCTGAGATGCAGAAAATTTCACCATTCTGGCTTCCTTTCCTCAGATCAGGCTTTTAGAATGGATGTTAAACCTATGAAAAGTATATTCCTTATAGCATAAGCTAAAAATGAATCAAAATAATAAAAAAAATCCCTTTTCCTTCCAGCAAGAATCTCTAAGTTTCAGAATTCTCACTGTAAATGCCTATTCTTTTCTCAGCAGGTCCCAGTTTCTGTGCTTCTTAAGCCACCATAGGAAGTATAGTTCACCAGGAAAGCTGTAGTTAGATTTCCAGTCAAAACATGCAACCCCTTTTACCATAGCATCCAAACAATGGTAAAAATGTTTTCTGACACTGTGAGACAAACTGTTCTGTTTCTTAATACAAAGAAGAGCAAGCTTGTTTATTCTGTATTACCTTAATATCCTATAATGGGCGTGAGAAAAAAAGTCTTCCCAGGTCTGGCAGCCCTCACAGGAAAGTTAGAGCAAGCTCTTTAAATTATTCATCTCAAAACTGCGCTGATCATCACACTTCCCTTCTTAAGAAGTAATTAAAAAAAACCTGCTAGACGAAAGCAAATAGAAAGGAAAAGCCAAGACTCCATCTTTATCAGTCTTAGACTTCTAACAGATTGTAGCCTTGGCTGCCAAAACCAAATTTCTAGGCACTTTCTCCTCTCAACCTGTTCCTGTTTCTTCTATTTTTTGAACTTGTGCCAAATTGTGGTGCTGAGTTGCTTTCAAGGTTTTGTTTACCACATGTTTAGAAGTGAAAGTTCAGGAGTTGTAAAGGGTATGTTTCATGCTGCTTCCATCAAAGGTAAAGGTAACTTTTCTGTTGGTTTCCTGAATTGGACAATGCTCACATAGAAAATATGATAGAGACTGAGACATTCTTCATTACTCTCCTTAGTCTCCAGTTCCCAGTTTCTGCCCTCCTTCCTAACTCAAATCCATGTCTCAAAAACTTTCAAAACATGAAGACCCTTTGTCCCAGAGATTTGTCTGGTATGGGGGATCATGGACCTGGATAGACCCTGGCCTCAGCACTGCAGTTCAGTTATGAAAGTGCATCCTATGTGAAGTCACTGCTTACAGTGCAACAATGTAAAGTCCCCATTTTCCATCACATGTTCAGACAATGTCTTCTTCCATGCTACATGCCCTAGTGTACATACCTTGAATAATCTAATATCTGCTGAGCAATAATAAATTTCAAATTTAATTTACAAATGAAGACATTGCTAAATTATTTTATTCCCCCTATCCCTGTTGAACAGAAACCCTGTCACACAAATTCTTTGCAATATTTTTTCTTCTTAAGACTATCACTGTAGAAACACAGAAAGGAAGATTTCCTTTATTCCTCATTAACTCAGAGGGAAAATAAGCATCAGTATTTATAAAGGCTGGAACATAAAGCCCAGATGTATTGTAGGAATATAAATTGTGATGTCAGTGAATGAATAATAAACTGCTCTAAATTGTGTTTTCCTAAAAATTCACCAGCTGACTTAATTTGAAAAATCTGTCTTACAGTCTTTTGCAGGCATGAAGCCATAAACAGGTTCATTTCAGTTCCTCTTAAAGAAGAAGGGAGTCAAAATGAGTTAAAAACCCATACAGTTTGGGTTTGGAATTATTTAAATAATATATTTTTAAAACATGTTGCATGGATCACCTGAATATGTAACTCCCTTTCTTCTTTCACAAACAATGCTTAAACAGACCAGTCATATTTTAAAGAAGACTTTCTTTCTTAACCTGAATAGCCATAGATGCTGTAATATAGCTGGATATAACTTGTGATCACTGTTTTTCCTTTCATATGCTGAAGCAGTGTCAGCAAAATGGGGAATGAACAACAGAAAAGCAATAGTAATTTTGTGCTGCCTGGGAAAGGTGGCACTGTACAGCCTGAACTATAGCTTTCATTAATTTCATCACCTCCATTTCTCTTTGGGTTATTTACTGAGCTCGCTGACTATCAAAAATGAATGAAAGAAAAAAACCCAAAACAATCTAAACTGTGATCAAATCAACTAATTTAGATTTGTTTCATGGCAGTACTAGAAGGGGGCTTTCCTTCGTTTTATTTAATGTTCATAGTACATACCCAAGATGTGGTAGACACAAGTTTAAATCTCACCTTTAGCAAAAGGATTTGTCTCCACCTCTTCCAGAAAATAAAATCACCATCAAACTGCAGAGCTTCAGAGGGGAAAGAGAAGAGGAATAGTGCTTTCTGTCTCTTTCTTATTTGCTGTTCACTCATTTGCAAATACCTGCAAATTAGGTTTCCCTTGTCTCAGGCAAACATCTTAATCTCATAAGATCAAGAAGAAATTCTCTGATTGCCCTGTAACCAGGTGCATATTACAAACTTGGGACAACTAAGAAATTATTAGAAGACAGTGAATAGACACTGTGTAGACACTTTCTTCCCCCTCACCTGCCTTAGATTAGTAACTTTGGGTTTAGGACAATTTTTCTTCTGTAGTGTAAGATATAGGTTCATGTTCTGTCAGCAGTACGAGTAAGAGAATTCTTTCTGTCACAAATTAACTCCCTTGTCCGTTCCCACTCCCCACAACTGGGTGAAAATACCCCCACACAGGACTGTGAGACAGTCTTGTTTTCCTCATGTTTCAGAATGTTGCTTGGAAAAACGTGTCACTTTGTTTACTGAAACAAAATCTTTTATTTTCTTTCAGATTTTCAGCTCAAAAAACATGCTTCGGAAAAGAAAAAGATTGGAGATAAATCCAAACTATGCTAAGTGCTGATCTGCACATGCAGTCAGTAGCAGGACCTGAGCTGTTTCCCTGTGTGAGCAGCCTGGTACACGAGTGCTGGCAGCAGTTTCATACCTGGTGCTTTGACTGCAGTGACTTCCACCCTTTCAGGGTGTGAGGTTGTGCTTCACCAGCAGCAGTTACCTCAGGTAACCCTTGTGTACAAAAAAGCACAGGTTCTTTTGCAACTAGCCACTTCAAAGCAAATCAGGGCTTCAGCAAGCCTTTAGATAGGTACGTGCACTTAAAATTTATAATTGTGTTTAATTCTACTTAATGCCATCATGTCATAATTAGAGCTTATGACAATAAGCCAAATTAACGTAATCATGATTTAAATTGTTTAGGTTCACTTGCATTATAATGCTTCAAGAACTGTAAATAGATTAAGAAGGACCTTTTAAAAATTATTATTTTGAGCAACTTTTCCTGAAAAGTGACAGGATTTAGTTGCTGCAGAATATAAGGAGTTTATACCTGCCAAATGCCCAGTAGAAATGGAGATAATTCCAGAAAGGCCAGGAAATTTCCAAATTAAATACATGCTACCAACATACTTAAAGATTCCATACAGGATTCCTACATGATTCCATCTTAACCAGTATAGCACATAAATGGCATATTTTTTCATTTTGGAATGTGTAGGCATTTACTTAGGTTGTTATGGTACCTATTCTTTTGAGCACAAAATACTCTCCCTAACAAAGTATACATGTCAAGGGAAGAGTGAAACCACAGAAATCCACTACTACTTACCATATGCTTGGTCTTGTGTTGAAGTACCATTTTTAAGAGACATTAGCAAAGATTTTCTATAAAATGTCATTGTCATATTTTTAAACATTCTTGAATGATGCCATCCAGAATCCCCCCTTGCCTCACCCCCAAAAAATTGAGTTCAGGTCCTAAAGTGAATTATTAGAATGGTTCCATATTAGGAAAACTTCAGTGGTCATAGTCACTCATCAGTGAAACACAATAAACCTGTAAATCTTATAGAAACTAGTCAGTTATGAATTTCATGGTAAGGTCTTAAGAAGGATAAGAAAAGATTCCAAGAGCCAACAGTGATCCTTGATCAAATAGCTTAGGAACCACCCATTACCTAGATTAAAAAAGTAGGACATCATTCTTGAGTTTTCAGACATATTAAAGTATTCTAAGAGTCTACTTTATGACCTACACTCTTAAATAATGGAGGAAGATGATCAGCTTATGTTTGCTTTCAGAAAGACAACATATTATATATGTATGAAGAATAGATTACTCTCATACCTCTTCTGCATAGGCAAAAATCACACCAGGAGAGATCAAAAAGGAGGGTGGGGACATACCAGTGGAGGAAGAAAGAAGTCCAACTGCTGAAAACTGGGAATGGACTGAGAAGATAGACAGGAAAGTTTGGGAGCTGTTGTACCCCTCCCATCCATTGGACAAAGTGGATACAT